GGGGAGGGAGAGAGACGAAGCAAATCCATGTCGTCATTAAAAAAAAGGAAGCGCATTGTGCACTTAAACGACACCAATTTAAATCCTACAATGAAGGAAGTCTCCGTCCCACCAACCGAGAACAGTCTATGGCAAACAAGAATGAAAACGTCAATGTACACACGAGGAGTCATCGACCCAATCGGATCACCACCCACTTTCGTCGCCACGATGGCCAATCGAGACCCGGCGCGTCGACGACGGCCCGCACACGGCTACAACGCTGACGGAAAGGCTCGCACTTTCGCGCCATCCACATCCGTGGAAGCCACAATGCGCACAACGAAGGCGGCACCAACTCTAACGCTCACGAATGGCCTTCGCTATCTCCAACAGAGCATGGCACATCATTTTGTTGACTTCGTCCAAGCTGCGTAGTGCTTTTTCTGCGCTTCGACCTCCGCTTCCAACGCCTCGCACTGCCAGATTTGGATTGAGCACTGACGCTCTCCATCGTCGACGCCATTAGCGCCCCGTGCTTCTCCATGCATTTTGTCATCGCTTTGAAAGTTTGCTGACTCGTGCTCTTCCTTTTGCCGAAGCCGTCGGGGCTATCCGTCGTTTGAGAAGAACATTTCGTTGACCCGTCATAGTCGTCGTGGTGCCGCGTCCCCATCGCCCACAGATTCAGGATCCGCAGAAGAGGCGGACAGAAGACGCACACCACGCAAAGCACCCGTGTCGGCGACGTTCTTCGGGTGTATGGTGTGGTTCTTGGCGGTCGACCCCAATATCTTGTCGTAAACCGCACGATCCATGTTGAAATTGAAGCCCTTGGACATCCACTTCTTCGCCGACAATTGGAAGAAGTCATGTTTCCCAAATAAGCGATTGAAGTGATGCACCTTCTTGAATTGCTGCATCAAATTGTCCCATTTCTTCCTACACTTATCTGCGTCTCTGTCGATGCCCACCTTCTTCAACCTTTGCGCCACATCTAACCACTTCCAATCTCGCGGCTTGATTCGAGCGTAGGCGTGACCCATCCCGTGCATATGCGCATCCTGGTCACGTTTAGCCCTTATGAGGGCTAAAATGTGGTCAACGGACCAAAAGTGTCGACCTCCTTCCGCGTCACCGTCCCCGTCGACATCGCTCCCCTTCCCCACCGCTTTTTTCCCCCGACGATCATTGCGGGCAGAGGCCTTCGTCTTCCCGCCCCTGCCTCCCATGTTGTTTTGCCTGAACCGCAAAACGTAGCCTTCGTCCTCCTCCCCACCTTCTCCGCCGTTGTCGTCGTCGTCGTGATCGTCCGCGTCCAGAACTGGTGCCTCCTTTTCCTTTTCGTGTTCCCCCCCACACAGTCGCTGCACCCCCCGAGTTATGGATTCCTCGCACCCCGACCGGAGCTCCCGCCGGTGTTCTGCCCACACCTCCCTCCCGTCCAGTTCGTCACCAATATCGTCGAAGCCAGAATTTGTCTCCCCGCATTCGCCACGACGGCAGGCCGCACTCAAACCGGCGGACAGGGGAGACGGAGACTGCATCCACTGGGGGCGAGCGGAGGCACCCCTCGACACAGATGGCGACCGGAATTGCTGCCTCGGAGGATTCCTGTTGTTCCCTGACGCCTCCCGAACCGGCGTTGGAGACTTCGATGATCGCATAACAGCCGTCACTTGCCCGCCGTCGTCGTCGAGGTGGGGACACACGATGACCATTCACGAGGTGGCCGACGACCTCCTCCTACAGAGCCCGAACGATAGATTCACGCCGCCATCGCCTTCGTCTCCGCTGAGCCCCTGCTGGAGGAGTTCGGTGTAGGACTGTCGATATGCGCCGTCGCGACTCCCACACAACTTTGTAGCCGCCCACTCCTGGGTGGACCCACTTCCCAGCGGCACGGTCCGTGACCGTGTCTCATCCGCCTCCTCAACGGACGTGTCAAGCAAAGGTTGCAAGTGCGGTGGTACATGCGTGTACCCAGACCGCTCCGACAGTTTTGAACTCCTCGACGGGGTTTGCCCAGCCCGCTGGCCACCGCCCTGCTCCCCTGCAGACCTGCAGACCTGCAGACCTGCAGATCGCCTGGCGCCCCCCCATCCTGACGTCCTTCGTCAAAGGCCGTCTTCTGCGTGCACGTCGCGGAACGCTACCGAGGATGCACACGTGGAAGACAACTAAAACGATGAGCAAGAGGACGACCAGCACTAGCAGCGGCAACCTCCGAAAGACATCGGCCATGAAAGGCACGTGGACGACGACAACAGCTAGAAGACAACGGTGGACGTCCAGGAAATGTCGAGGACCAGCGGTGCAAACGGCCGATTGCAGATAACGACGAACGAAGGGTAACGTATTCCGACGCGGAAGACATTGCGCAATCGGGAGAGCGGCGGCCGGCTGAAATATTCGAATCTGCCGACCGTTGGGCGCCTTCCTGCTCGAGGCTAAGGGCACCGACGCAAGACAGCCCCTTCTAGACGTCATGGAGGCCGGCAGGCCGGCAACGGTGACCGTTGGCGGACAATTCCATGACGTCGAACGTTGCCGACCGAAGATGTCCATCGACAAGCCGCCAGGAACAGCAATGGACCAGCTGAGTTCGAAAATTATCGTCGAGAGAGCTGCCGTCAACGCCCCGATTCTTTCGGATGCTCGACCTCCAAGGAACCTCGGGATGTCCCTTGGGGAACACGTCGAAATGGTTGTAGCCCAAGGAATCCCCAAGGAATCCCCGAGGAAATGTTTTCAGATTTTTTTTCAATTTCTTCCCCGAGGATAAGTGGAATGATTTTCCTCGGGGGGCTTATGCGCCCAAGGAGTGTCTAACGAGCCCCATCACCCAAAAAAAAGGCCTGGTAATTATCACTGCATCTGGTCTAGAAGTGGCCCCGGACCCAGAGACAGCTATAATGACCGGGTGTTCTGTTTAGGTGGAGACGGTAGTTCGAGTATGTTCTCGGGGTGGGCCCCTCTTCTCCAAGCTGGACTAATTCCCCCCAAAACACAGGGTAGATGCATTACTATCCCCTCCCCCGCAAGTTTCACCAATTATTGCACCTTTGTCATCACTAACCCATGTCAGGGAGACGTTGATGGGTAAGCTATTAGCCATAGCGAGTACGTCCTGTACCCTAGTAGCGTCTCTCCATCTCCACAATACCTTCTGCCACTGTCTCCCCTTTTGGGGGGTTGGGGGGGGGGGCAGGAATATTTGGTTCTGTTTGTTTGTTTGTTTTTTTAACGTGTGTGTTTTTTTCTTGTTCTGGGTGCGTATCTAGGCTACCAGCCAGGCCGCCCGGGTCCAGGGTGGCCAGCCTGTGCAAGGACAAGGGAAGGTCCCAAGAAAAAATACAAAATCCAAAAAGTCCGAAAAAAAACTATGTTATGCCGAAAAATAAACTGAACAACTTGTGCCTCAGGGTCACATCGAAATTCTTTGCCAAATTTAAAGTATAAAATAAAAATTTTAAATATGTATATATAGTCAAATAGAACTGCCCGGTAAACCGTAGGCAGAGAGGGAGAAGAGGATATAAATATATTATAATATATATATATATATCGTCACATATAAGTCGGTGAAACTCCGACGAAACAGTTTGTCACAGCCCCTCATTTGTTGTCCTCTTCTCCCTCTCTGCCTACGGTTTACCGGGCAGTTCTATTTGACGATATATATCGTCACATATATATATACAGGGTAACCGGCGTTCGGGACGGGTCGAACGCCCGAACATATGGGACCCCTTGGGGATG